CCACCCCCAATTCCTGCCTCTAGGCATTAGGTTTCCTTAGCTAGAAAATGAAGAGTTTTGTTTAGAATCCCTTCCATACTCCAAAAGATAAAAAGCTATTGTTAAACATCGAAGCATAAAACTTTTAATATAAGGAAGATAAGTAACCTATTAGGACATCTGAATTATTCATGAACCAGCCCCCAACATAGATATAAAGTTTTCAAGCCACTAATAAAGTGCAAATTCTAACTAATATCTCCATTAGTTTGAGAGATCGTAGTAATTTCAAATTTTGGGAAAGCAAACATAAATATGCAACATTATTAGTAAGGAATCACAAACTCTTTAAAACTCATATATAATCAGCAGCTTATTTTGCATAACACACTGACTTATACCCATGTAAGCAAGCACTGTTTTTCAACAAATTAACTCCCTTCCCAGGACTGGACATTCAGAGCTCTCTGTCCTATTACCTTTGTCTAGTTGTAAAGTTGTAATTATTTGGAATTTAGACAATAACTCTAATTGGATCAAACTGGTAAAAACCATAATGCCATAGCCACAATGTAAGAATTTCTTTTTCTTTCAAGGGGTACAAAAAGAAGTTCAATATTTTTTCATAGTTTTCCAAAAGGACAATTTGGGGGCAGCTTCAGGTTGACATTAAACATTTGAATAGAATTCACTAAATCACTCAGTATCTAAGGAATGTAATAAAACAAACACACAATTATTAACAATGATCTTCACTATTACCAAGGGTGATATTAACAGCTAGAAGAATTATGTTTTACCGACTACCCAGTGGTGTTGATTTTAGATGGAAACTTGTGAGTTTGGGATTAAAGTCACTGCATTTTATTTCAGTTCCCCAGATCACACCACACTCTCAGTACCAAAAGGAAATCATGGCACTAGGGAACTTTTCTGTTTAACTCTCTACATGGAGGAGCTGCTTTTCTCAGAATTAACTGATGTTTTCTAAAATCTGCAAATCACCATAAAATAAAAGCCAAGGTCTAGACTTATCCTCAAAATTGACAGCGCCTGAAAGAGATCAGTAATAAACGCTTCTCTATTTTGACTGAGTACTGTACAACAAAATAGCATAAGATGATATGTAACCAATGTTACAGAAATGGTTAAATCAGAAGAGAGATATAAAACACATTTAATACGTGAAATAAATATTTGTAAATATGGTTGAAAATTATATTTTATAGTTCTAATTATGAAAATCATGTAGTTCTAATTTATTATCCCACAAATTTACACTGAATTGAAAAAACTCTTCTTGAAAATAAATATGAAAAGATCTTAATTCATTGGAGTTGTAGTAGAGGTTCTCCAACAAGACTTCCAAGAAATCCACAATATATTTTGTTTTCTCTATAAAAAATACAATATTTTGAATAAGTTAAATTATTCACCATCTTAATTAATTGCTTGATGGTGAACATTAATAAAAGCCTCATTTTAAAATAATCCCCAAGATACATCTAAGTATGTTTGATTCTTGAGTTTTCATTCGAATGGAGAAAACAGTGTTAAAAAATATCCTACTTGGCCGGGCGCGGTGGCTCAAGCCTGTAATCCCAGCACTTTGGGAGGCCGAGGCAGGTGGATCACGAGGTCAAGAGATTGAGACCATCCTGGTCAACATGGTGAAACCCCGTCTCTACTAAAACTACAAAACATTAGCTGGGCATGGTGGTGCGTGCCTGTAATCCCAGCGACTCAGGAGGCTGAGGCAGGAGAACTGCCTGAACCCAAGAGGCGGAGGTTGCGGTGAGCCGAGATCGGGCCACTGCACTCCAGCCTGGGTAACATGAGAGAAACTCCGTCTCAAAAAAAAAAAAAAAAAATCCTCCTTTTTTTTTCTCATTGAGGGGACTTAATGCATTTTATATATATATATATATATATATATATATATATATATATATATATATATATATATTTATTTTTGGCAGCAGATTTATTGTTATACATTTGTCTTAAGATAATATTAAAACCCTGACTGTAATTTCATAGCAGAAAATGAATGATGATAGATGATTGGGAAAGAAAGAGAGTCATTTCAAGATTATTAGCTGGTAGGAGGGAACCAAATTGGAACTTAAAAACTGGCTGAGGGACAGGTGCGGTGGCTCACACCAGCAATCCCAGTACTTTGGGAGGCCACAAGGGGTGAATCACTTGAGGTTACGATTTTGAGGCCAGCCTGAACAACATGGCGAAACCCTGTCTCTAATAAAAATATAAAAATTAGCTGGGAGTGATGGTTCATGCCCGTAATCCTAGCTACTTGGAGGCTAAAATATGAGAATTGCTTCAACATGGGAGGTGGAGATTGCAGTGAGCTGTGATAGTGTCACTGCACTCCAACCTGGGCAATGGAGCAAGCTCTGTCTCAAAAACAAACAAACAAAAAACCCAAAAACAAAAAACAAAACCTGTCTGAGGATAATTTGCAGAAGGAATGATTCACATATGAATAATTATATGTGGGTTTATTAGCAACCACTGAAAGGACAACTTACGGTTGAATCTCAGGTAGGAATTCTATGTTTAGTTCTTTGTCTTTATAATAGCATCTTTGAAAATGAAACAAAATTGGACAGGAGAATGAGTAAGACTAATAAAATCTCAAATATTTATTTATCATCTATTATATGTGAGTTATCTTTTAGTGCTCACTCACAATGACACTGTTGGTGCTATTATTTTCCTTCTTTTATAGATAAAGCACCTACAGTTTGGAGACCTTAAGCTATTGTCAAAGGTCAAGTAGTAAGTGCCAGAGAGATGTGAATCTGTCTGGCACCAAAACTCACATTGTTAATTACACTAACATGATAGCTCTCTTACTAGAACAGAGGTTTTTAACCTGCTATCCTAAATTTAGGATGTCCATGGAAAGTACTATATTACAATGATTTCATATTTATGTGATCTCCCCCCCGCTCCCAGTTTCATCACAGACTTAAAGGGGTGAACGACCGAAGAAAGTCAAGAAACTCTGGACTAGATCCATGAACAAAACCAATAAAGACTTTTTTTTTTAAACAAAGACAACTATAAAAACATGAATTTAGGTTTACAACCAGAAAGATATAGCAGTGGTCTTCTGGGAAGAGAGAGGAAAAAACACATGCAGTTTTAGAATGTAAAAAGTACTAAATAGGCCGGGCGTGGTGGCTCAAGCCTGTAATCCCAGCACTTTGGGAGGCCGAGGCGGGTGGATCACGAGGTCAAGAGATCGAGACCATCCTGGTCAACACGGTGAAACCCCGTCTCTACTAAA